TGGTTGTAGATGGCCATCAAAAGTGCCGTCGAAGAATATGTAAAAAGAAAGACATCGATATTCGGACAGATGAATTTGAACGCATAACGATCGGTTGTAGAAAAACCCCCAAAACAAACTCTAAATACTGTGAAGATCACCAAAACGAAGAGTCATTCAATCATTACAATAAAGTAAGCGAACTCTTTCTAAGAAAATCATCATCTTAATTTTTGATACTTCTGACTTGATCATTTATTGTTTTCCTTAAATTCCATCTCTCAATAACACGTACTCATTACGAATGCTTTAGGAAAAGCGAATGTTGAGATCATCAATACCTTTACAAAAAATGCTGCTGCGACGTAGTACGTCGCAGCGGTATATTTCCGGTATATTTCCTAGAAAACACAATAGTAACTTACTATTGTGTTTTCTAGGAAATATACCGGAGTGAAACGATCAAAGAAATAATTAACACGTTAGCTAATATTCTCAAAATTACAAAAAACGTTCCATCTGTAATTTTATATGATGACGTTGCCATCTGGTTCATTATCTGAAGAATCATTACGGAAAGCGCATAAAAAAAAGGATCCAATCAAAATTTCTACTCAATTGCAAATATAACGTTGATCGAATGCATTTTCCTAATCATGTTTGGTGGTGGTGTCGAGAGAATATGAATTCTTACAAGTCAAACTTATTAGACAACATAAACACACAAGCTGCTGAACAAACATTTTCATGGTTGAAAAAGTATTCAAATCAAATATCTGGTACGGGCCACAAAAGGATAATGACCTATTTGTTAATGTTGTTCCATCTGAAAAATTGTGAATATGTTGAAATTAGACCAGATTTATATGATAATGAGAATCCTCTTCACATAAAAAACGTACTTGTAAGTGCTGAAAAAACCCCTGAGCAACATGGATACCAAAGCTTTTTTGATACTTTCAGTCAAAAACATATACCCTGCCAACTAAAATGGATATTTCAGATGACTCACCCGATGACAACGACGCTACAACTGCCACTACACTTTCCCATCTTGAATTCTGTCTCATGTTTGTTCAATTCTGATGAGACTATATTGAATTCTGATTCAATTCTGATGTGAAAATGTTCAATTCTGCTGATATTACTTGAATTCTGCTTAACTTCATCAGTCTACACACTTTCCCATCTTGAATTCTGTCTCATGTTTCTTCAATTCTGATGATATTACTTCAATTCTGCTTCAGTTCATCAGTCGTAAGTTCTTCTTCGTTCAGCAATTCATGTCGTAAGACTGACACATGACCTAATTTCATAAGAAGCCGGAAGACGGTCTTACACATCCTCGTCTTTTGTTTTGGTAATTTGTATACTGCTGGCGCGAGAAAGATTTTTCCGATATAGGTCACAGCATGTGGCAGTAGTCTGTTTTTGTGATTGGTGATAAAGATCATTTGAGTAGATCGAAAAACTGCTTGATCGCTATTCACACACGTATGTCGGCACGTTTTTAGTAGAGATCTTTCTCGTATTTTTCTATCGTTCCCCCAAGATATTTATCAGAACGCAAGAGAAAAATATTCTCAGGAGGTTCCTGTTTGCTATTATTCTCTCGTACACTCGTCTATCGGCAGCAGCATCTCTTCTAGGTCGTCTTGTTCTTGACGCGGTGTAACGAGGCAAGGACCTTAACAACGATAATAGGAAATAGAAATCTGTAATTTATTTTCTGAAATAAATATTCATCTTATGTTTTAGTAAGTGTACTGGGCGATGAAGCTAATGGAATTGGACGAGAGGAAACGTCGGAAATGGATGCTAAATTGGGTAAGTGAAATATGGTGTATACATTCATGCAATACTTTCTTCCTTTTGTACAGCATCAGAGAACCGGTCTTTCAAAAGAACTCCATCAGATGATAGCAATGTCTGAATTGTTTTATTTGGTCAATCAGAAACGCTCTCTGGAACTCTTCAAGCAAATAATCGACCGTTCCTAGGCGAGGATCAGTCGTCTGACATGTAAGAAAATCGTTGGGGAGAATTGATCTTTGCAGGAAAAGAGTACATATTCTGGTTTAGTATCCCAATTGATTATCGCTCAGGATCAAAGCTCTTTTCTGAGCTGATATGATCTATTTATTGAAAATGCCAAACATTCTATGAAATAATTTTTCGTAATCGTAAAATCACATTGATCTGTGGCTGATTTTATTACGAGCGATTGAATGGAGAGAATCCAATATAATCAGTTTCCAGCCAGAGATTAGTGAAATTTCATTATCTTCTTTTTTTACAAAGAATCGCCTGAAGTCCCACTTCCTTGATGGAAAGTCAGTTCGACAACGGTTCTCCACATTCATCTGGTTTTCACGCTGGTGAATACATCTTGTGTGTTTGACAATGGCTATGAAATGATTTTTCTATTATAGATACTTCTCGCTCTCGAAATTCTCGTCGCTTATCTGTCAGGATCGATGTCTATTCGCTCTTTAGTGGGCGATAGTGCCGTCGATTCGATTAGTCTTGGTTTACTTTTGGGCGCATCTTTTATAGCCAGACAAAGCAGAAAAAAAGTATCCATTAGGTATATGCATATATAGGTTTTGACATGTATTTCAGAATATTTAGAAACACAATCTTGTTTCAGGTCGAGCAAACGTTGAGACATTGGTTCTTTTTCTGATGGCTCTTTTCATGACATGCATGCTAGGCGGAGCAATACTTCGATTATTTCAAAAAATTCAATATTTCTATTCCTATGGAGCGGATCCCGAAAAAGCAAATATCACTCTAGCAAGTGCTGAGATTGTCGGAGCATTGATTCGTAAGTAAAATACTGTATTATATGAATATTGTGAAGTATTTCGATCGATTTGTTAGTTATTAAATTGATCCTTCTAGTTGTGTGCATAATCAATTCAAATTCACAATCGAAAGCGTTGAAGAAAGATCACCAAGTTGATATAGGAATGAATCTGGTTGCTTTACTTTTTGGTTATGGTGAGTAGATATGAAAATGTGAACCATTGTTTTATTATAGGAGTTAATTTTTCAGAAGTCGGGGGTCTTCAGTTGAGCATTTTGGTATCTCAAATGCGACTATGAAGACTTCTAGTCGAGCTAACGTCGAAAATGACCCAGAATTTACAAGCAGGCTCGACCAGAACTCTTCATGGTCGCATTTAAAATACCGAAATGCTCAACTCGCTGAGCTCTTTCATCCTATATATGAGGTTTCGAATGAAATTTTTTTATTAGGGCCGATTTGGCTACGAAATCCGGCCACGTCCTTTGAAAAGAACGTACAAAAGCAAACATTGCGATCAAGTTTTTCAGTGTTGTCAGGGTGCGAATCGATTGTTAGTCAAGTATTTGAACTGAATCAGATGTAAAAAAAACTTTGATTATAGAACCGTGGAATAATTATTGGGTCAAATATAGTTTCAGAGCTATTGGAAAATTGCTCACTAAGAGGTGATCAGCGGATCATTTTCGCTCAGATGCTATCATAAAAATCCAAGATACGTAGATTAGATGTCAAGAAAACAACTTATCCGATCTCCGCTCTCCCCCAAGCATCTCTCTGGATAAAATACTGAGCAATGGATTGAAAAAATGTTTTTTTTTTCAATACTGTTCAGGTTCACTTGGTACTAGTGGTAAATGGGCAGAAAAATTGATTATAACGGATGATATCGGTGCCATATGTCTTGCTATCTACGATATATCAATTTGGCCACCACAAATTCGGAGTACGCTAAAAGAAACTGAATGCGACTGACTGCTATTAAATGACAATAATTTTCTCATGTTAATTTAGAACATGTATAACGTGCTTGTCATCGTATTGTTGAAAATCCTGATACTCAAAGTAAGATACGGAAAATAGCTACAAACGTTTTAGAAGAAACTAAGAGAAGTAAAGAAAATTCCATCTAGATGAAACCATTATATGTCATGGTGGTGATGACACAGTTATCATGATGCAAATGATTACATTGACTAAAGATATGGTTCAACAACGAACTCAAGAATTTTTGGTAAACTCAAATGAACTCTCGAAAAAATTGAACAAGTCGGTCATGTTATCGTACATTGGGAATTTTAAAAAGAAAGACATACAATAGTCATTCTTTCTTGCTTATTGTCTGCTGTAATGTGTTTACGAATAAGTAATCGGAGGTACTTTCTGCACCACTGCTTGTCCCGCTCCGTTATTACTATAGATGCCCCAACAAAATTTACCAGTTTCCCTACACTTACCCTCATTTTCCCATCGTTGCTCAGAAGTCCCCTGGGCACACAATACCCAATGTGCTCACTACTCTCGTGTGTTAGGATGCAGATAAGTGTGTCCATCGCTCACAGTCATATTCTGATTTCCCGTCGTCCGCTTGTCTGCATTCGATCGGTCCCATGACCTGAGGAACTTATATCTGGAGACCTTCAATGACTGTGGCTACATTCACACTACAAATTTTTCAGAGTTAACTCGAAGTTAACTTCGAGAGCATCCTCATCTAAACCTTTCATTATGAGAGAGCTGAAAAGTCGACTTTTTCGTGCGATGATATAATCATAATTGTATTGGAATCGCGAAATATTTCAGTGTTATAAGAAATACTCAACTGTTATTTTCAACCTCTGGATCTCGTAAATTTTTCCCTAGCCTTTAGTGGGATATAGGACAGGTTACATAAATCGGACACGTAGATCTCTCCAAGCAAGCCGATGTAGATGCCCGACGTCTGGAAAGAGTTGAGGTTCACTGATAACTCATTCCCACCGGGCGTCGTGTTCCCTGGAGTCCATTTTGTCACACGATAATTTGTATACTCTGCCATGTAGACATTAAGTGACGGATCGAGGAAAACACCCGTGGGAACACCGATACCCTCTAGAAACAGAAAATATAAAACAGTGATAATTATTTTGTAACATATTGAAAGGTACCTCAAACAGATAAACTGATTTTTACAAAAGTGAATCCACATATTTTTCTAGCTGACACTGAATTGACATTCTTCATTAGAATTGGTAGAGCTTCAACAGCAACTTATAAATATTGGAATTCTTGCCTACTCTGCATCCACTCAAAGTAGAGCAGAGAAAGAAAGTTACGAACAGTTTTAATACGGCTAATCGTATTTTTTCCCCAAGATCACATACTGACAGAGGTAAGCGATGTACAACTGTTTGTGTATGATCTTTCAAAGACTCATTCGGTAAAAGGGTATTTTGATAAAACTCATTTTCCGTTTTTTATGGTTTGATACTAAAAATAATAAAATTGATTCAGCTGATTAGACCATCCCGTGCGATTAAGATTACAACTATGTATCTCCCTGCTGTCCTATTTCACACAAGATGATAACGTCCACTAAGAGCGAACGCAAAGAGCGCGCATGTGAGTTTTTTATGACATACTTTGTGCAACAACCGTGCAGTTGCCTGTATTCTCGACGCAGCGTCTAATGAGTTGATACAGCTGATCAGCTATGTACATAACTGGATCCTAAAAGAGAAAAAAGACAGGGACTCTTCATTGATCGATGCTAGCCTTTATTATCTCCATAATTTGAAGTCTCATTCAACTAAAACCAGCAGAGGCTTAACTTTTCTAGGTTTCAGGTTCAGCGTTGGTTGGGACCAGACAGACAACTTTTCAACTGCTATGATGATTGCCCAGCGACTAAATAAACAGTTTTCGGGTGCGCACATCTGAGTTCTACTTTGAATCCTAGTCTTTTCTCACTTTCTCTATTTTCAAGGCTGCATAGCATTATTCAATTTCTAAGTCGCGTTACCATCCGAATTAATTCAAGCTTTTTATTATTATTCTTGTTCTCCGTCAAGACGCCTAATGACCCGAAAACTCACAGGACTTCGATTTAAATTTGATAGCAGCGTAGAACTAATAAAACGTTCATCACGGTAACCGCCAACGCCGATTTATGTGTTCTTACGGCGATGATTACGAACCCTAGCTTTTCACCTGGAATCGAACTACTGTAATTTTAGAGAAAATACGAAACAATTAGCTATCAAGTCTTTCGCATTTAGGTGACTGCAGACAGGTATGAGTCGCACATGAGCATCGTCTACTACAACTTGCAACAAGTGTGTGAGATTTGAGTATATCGATTTAGTCGCTGCAAACATATGTACAGGCTGCCTCCAGAATACTGCTCGAGAAAAAATGTTTAGAGGCCCCTCGTTATACTCTAGGGTTAGCTAGAATATTTGTATGAAGCTTTCGTCTTAATCAAGTAAAGAAAAGATAAATAGTGAAGAAAAGCCTTTTCATTATAATACTAAAGGATACGTACAGTGCCTAATCCGTTTGAGGTGCTGTTGACCACTTCGCTGACGGCTCCAGTGCTACTGTATTTTAGAATTCGCTGGTAGCCGTAGTCTAGCTGAAAAACAAAAGGTAGTTTTCGTACTGCCATCACGAATTAAACGGAGATGTTCCTCAGGCCATAGACATTTCAATAGCCTATATAGTTTATCTAGTATTATAGTATGTAGTAACTATAACATGTGAATGAAATATACAAACTACGCACAGATTAAGTTATATATCTACAAAACGGTTGACAATGACAACGTGTAGTCACATGTCCGAGTCAAATATATCTGAAGTGAAAATATAGAAACGAATGCACGTTTTTGTGTATTATATATGTACTGCCATAATTTTCCCTCTGACCTTTAAGGTCCTAAAGGGACAGAGTGCTAAGATTAAACAATACACAAAAATATGAATATAGGTACAAAAAGGAAAGCTGAAAGACAGAGAGAAGTGATAGAGAGAAAAGAAAAAGAAAGGTTTTCTTTTCCTTTTAGTCTAAGCCTCCAAAATATTTGCCGCCTTTCTCCTAAAAGGTCTCTGGAAATGTAGCAAATAGTTCAAGGTCCTTGTGATCCGTCACAGGCACCGAATCCGTCATTCCGTGTTCCGCCATCCATCGTGTCGCTAGACCAAAAACATCATAGTGTGTAATGAATCGTTTAGATCTTCTAAGATGACGGATGCGTAGATTCCCTTCCTCCCAGTTACTTCTATATGTATTGACTGTTGATTGTTCAAGTAAAAGATATCCATCTCTAGATCTAGATAGGGCTTTCAGATATTTTAACCAATATGCATAGCACAGATCGTCTAATGATCGTTCGTTATAGACAAAGGCAAAAAACATATCCTCCCAACAGAGGCAATAGTATACACGTTTAAGTGACGTATAATAGAAGTGATTTAACTCCACACGCTGCGACGACGTGAATAAGGGTACGATAGCGAATAACCATGTAAACAGTGGAAGTACAAAAGTAAAAAAGAGCACTCGACGTAGAGCTACCGAAGATGATCCACCAAATTTAATCGAATTAATCATCGCTGTCTGTTAGTTTAAGCTTTTACTAAAGAATGGAGAGTAGTACAAGCGGCCGAAGCCATACAGCGCATAGCAAATTAAATAAAAGGAAAAATAAAAAAAAGAAAAGATGGAAGAAAGCAGTGAAGAAGATACGGAAAAACACGAAGGGATAGGAGTAAATCACTCGAGAGTTTCGGGGCCAGTTTAAATAATAATCAATAATAAAAATGAAAACGAAAAGTGCGAAAGTCGAGGACTAGAAACGCCTATAGAAACACAATAGCGCCTAGAAACGCAATAAATTCAACGACCGAATTGAAAATAATCAATCTCTGATCTTCATCTCTATCAGTCTCATACAAAAGTAATGTCTTAACGTCAAACTGGGTTAGAAAGCTCAATTTTTTCCTCATTTGTCTTCTTGCCCGTTTATAAACAGTGCAATCTAATAAATAATGTTGTATCGTTTCGTTGATCCGACAGGTAGGACAAAGTGGAGAAGAAACACACTTCC